GGATATGCAATCACAAAATTTCTATGAATACATTCCGAGAGGAATTTGTTTCTAATATTAGAAAGACTTCCCTCGCATGTGTTATGTTAAGATTGCTAATGAGAACATGTAAAAGTGAGATGGAATAATATAGTCGACGTTGGAAGAACACAAGAAACGCACGAGAAATATTTTATTCTTACGTCTATGAACACGTTTTATAGTCAGTTTTTAGGAGTTTGTTCTCGTCGTATTGCAAATATATTGCAAATAAATTATCTTTAAACCTTTCCGGGAGTTCTTCATGATGTAGATCGATATTTTTTTTAGTGTTCAGTGTCGATTAGAAATTCACGTTTCCGGCTTTCATTTCCATGTAATAAAGTTATAACATTCGTTACGTTGTTTTTAATATTTTTCAATACTGACACTGTGCGATGCATGAAAGAAACAGCTTTTTTAAACTCAAAGCAATAATTTGGCCAAACTACAGGCCTAGGTCACAAATCCAAACGGGCTCTTCTTTCAATTTCAGCTAAAGCACTTCCGGCTTCAAGCTTGCACAGACTTATGGGCCAAGGGACTCCCCCTTTCATTTTCACGACAAGCCACGAAACATTTCCACGTGGAATTGAGGAGGCAAGGTCGTAAAACAGTCAAATGTGGCTTCCATTTCCGCGACAGAGGTAAGAACGCATGTTTGTATCAGATTTCTGAACATAATTTAAGGTAAATACTTTTATTCCAAGTTTCTCATTGAACATTTTCTCTTTCGCGTGTTCTTTATCTGTCCTAATTTCCTCTGATTTCCGGCAATGAAAGACGTTCCTGCAGTTAACTCACGAGGATTGCTAACTTTTATTGATTCTGGCGTGTACTAATTGCTTTGCCGCTTCGTGTTACTTATAAGCTACTTAAGTTTAGCTTGTTCGAACAAGTTACAGCTGTCGAATTCACTAAAATTCGCAGGCAATACTTGGAATTTACCTTGGACAAAATAAGTTACTCGTGAGAGTTAAAGTAGCATCCAAATTATCGATTTAATTTAGTGCAAGCGCTGATGATCGAAACACTTTCAGTTTCGTTTGCATGTCATGTTGCACATCCTCGATCACAATCGTGTTTTGCTCTAGCTTTCATGTCGGGCTTATATATGTATTTACTTAATTTGCTTTCGTATTTACGATGCATTTGATCAAAAAGCGATAAACATTTCCAGGGTATTTCATGTGTTGATGTTTATTATTTTATAGTTTGAAAGAAATGTTTTTCTTTTTGATAGACTATTCAGATTCTCCTTCCAAACTGTGCTGTTATAATGATTTCCTTGTTAAATATTTAGACTAAATAATTTTTCTACAAATGTCAGCTAGTGATTTATTGCAAGCTTCCTTTCAATTTACTGTTTCCGGTAGGAATCCAATTCACCAACTGGTAATGATTGCATATTTAGAGTGATTGATTAGTATCTGAGTAAATTTTTACCTTTTGTCATCTGCTAATCAATATATGATTAATCAATAATCACATCACTTAAATGTTTCTGATCAATTTTTTTTTCTTTTTATCAAAACTGGTATACTTATTATTGGGTGCACACATCCAAGTATGTGTCTGGTGATAATTTATGTTATCATAATGGCAAGGTTAGTCTAGGGGTAAATTCAAGACTTCTGATTGGTTCTTACTTGGTCAGGATTTTGCCAAAAGGACCATCATCGCACCATATGAACAATCATAAAACATGTGTTTTTTACATGGAAGCCAGAAACTTCAAAATAAACAAATTTAGTCCAAGTGACATTTAAGTGCATACCTTGCTTTCTTGAGCCATACTTGGGAATATTGGCACTAAATATGTCATTTCTACACTGACACAACCTTGGGCCAATAATTATTCTCTAGTAAGGCCCTCCGCCCCACCAGTTAGTCAGTTAGTACTGGCTTTTGCAAAAATAATCTACACTTTACATGTATCTTAGGCTATTCTGAATTCCCGAACCATTGATTTCCTTGTTTTTGTACACGAGGTCAGCCAGCAAGGATCATATGATATTTGAAAAACAACCAGCCTTGATTAGCAACAGAATTAATGTAAGCATTAAAAAAAAATCAATTTTGTGCACAAAACATCGAACTATGAGGGGGTTAGAAAAACAATTTGTTGTTCACGTGTACAGGTAAACCACAAACACCTGTGTACATGCAGTTTTTAAATCCATTTCAAAATAAACTAGATGCCTATAAGGGTTTACTCGGGCTATGTTTGTGTGACACAGAAAGAATATCCTTGCATGAGGACCTTGGAAATACAAGCAATCATTTCACCCTGTAACTCCCATGAGTGACCAAGATAGAATTTCTCCTTACAATATCAATACAATATCAATCAGACAGGTGATGAGAATAAAAAAAATATAAGTTTAAGGATTTTCTAGTTGATCCAGTACCAAATTCTCAGAAATAGCATCATAAATATTGTATGGCAGACAGTAAGGAGAATTGTTAATGAGATCTTGGCTGGGTGTTAAAGGGTTAAACACTTAAAAAGAATTCCAAGAGGCTCCATTTGGTGAGAGCTTTAAGTATCATGCATATCTCCCAAAATTCAAGCTTGAGAAAGTGTATGTGGCCTTTGTTATCAGATGGAAAAGAAATGTTTGAAACATATTATCTATCTGCAGAACTATATACCAAAATTGGCAAATTCACCTTAAGTTCATAAACGTGAATATCCATTGCTTTTTTTCACATTTTTTACCTGACATGGCATAACTTTTACCCTCTTCCAATGAACATTAGGATTTACTGGTATACTAATTGAAAGGAGATGGAAATCAAGGATTCATTAGGTGAACTTAAGTCAAATATCCTGTATACTAAGTTTGTTTCGAGTTCTCCCACTAATCCTTGTAAAACTAAATTCCTCCCAGTATTGCACATGCTAAACGTTTTCTAGGAATCCTAATAATTACAAAAACCCTGGATCGGGGATACCCGAAGCTGAAAATAAAATCGAGTTGAAATAGTCAATCAACAAATGTCAATCGCTCAAGCTTTATTGAAATGTTAAAAAAGATCATTGTAACAGCATATAAACATTAACCGAGTTCAAATGCTTGATGGTACACTTCACTCAAATTTGTGCAGGATTTTCTTATTTATATGAATTTCAAATGAGATGTTGATAACAAGTTCAATCATTAACTATACATATTATTACAGCATAAACATTACAAACTAAAATGTTTGGTGGTATAGTTTACTCATATTTGTGCAGGGTTTTTTTATCAATATAAATTTCAATTGACATGTTTACCCATCATGAATTATACATATCATGACAGCATGAACATTAACCAAGTGTTAAATGCTTGAAGGTATAGGTTAATCATATTTGTGCAGGAGCACAACACAACAGCATAAACATAAACAGAGCTTTAAACCTTGAAGGTAATGTATAGGTATGATGATATATCATACCTCATTAATTTAGTGTGGGTCTACCGTGAATAGCATGTACGGTTTATAGGTACTTTGAGCATTCCAACAAGAAGCAGAGAGCAAAGAGACCTATGAAGAGCAAACCAAGTCACTTGTTTTGTTGTCAGCCACCTCATTTTCACAGTTGCCTAGCTTTCATGCTTGTTGAGGAATACTGCAGACCGTCAAGCAATGCAGGCTTTCACACTCTCAACATTGGTGAGATAGATAGATAGATATTAGATAGAAAACCAAAACTTAGTCACCCAGCCTACCTGTGTAGCCCAAGTAATCATGCATTAGGGTATGGATTTCAGTGTTTTTCCTGCAATAAGCATACTCGTTGAGCCAACCCCAATATGAACAATGGGTGTACAGTGCCCCTCTCCACCCAGGAGTTTAAATAGGATGCAGAAATTAGTTAGGGAAGCCTGATGAAATGCCAGGGGGGAAGGGTGTGGGGTAACCATAGGATGGACTGGTATCCCGTCAAGGGGGGAATAGTGGTAATACTCCTAGTGGCTTCATTTGAGGAAACCAGGATTATAGGCTCAGGGCCTGGACTGAGGCCACTGCTCCAATGCAGACTTTACCTAACTACCTACAGCCTCTTAGTTTAAATAATTTAAATTGCTGCCGTTACAAATTATATGAACTTGCAGCACAAAGATGATGATTTTTTCCCGATTTATCTCAGTCAACTGGGAATATATTTTATAAATCTTGAAATTTATTGTAATAAGAAGTGAAGTACTGTTCACTGACTTAAACATTAATGCTTGTTCTCTTCAGTATATGCATCTTTTGTTCTTTTGCTGCTTAATTGTTTGTATGCCACTAATGTTAACTGACTTGTGATTTTGTGTGTATCCCTTCATTCTCAGAAGGGAAAACACATTTATTTTGCTACTTGGTAATATGTTGAGCTAATGTTTAACACCATTTTGCAACCATCTTTTCTTCAGGCCAGGATAACTTAAAACAGCAACTCTTTGGAAGAAGCATTTTCTTACAGTTTCTATGGCTACAGCAAGAAGTCCAGTTAAAGTGCCATGTGAAAATGAAGACTTACCTGAAAAGGAAAATGCACCAGATTTTGATGAGGACACTTTACGAGGTGAGCTATGTTCAACTTCAGCTTCAGTTATGGCTTGAACTCTTTCTATTCCACCAGTTTCAATAAAGTAAGCAGATGTGGAGAACAGTATATGTACTGTATGACCACTTTAAAGATATTTGACCAGTCATGACTCTCTGCTACGATTACAATATGCTGTTCATAGAGAGGATCTATGACACAGAAACCTTTGTTATTTCCTTCTCTAAAAGTTCAAACCAAGTACACAAAGTTATCATCAGTAAAAACTTTATTTGATCATCATTTAAAATCCAATTTGTAAATACCATCATCATCATCTTTCCATTATAATGCAGCAGTGAATTTGAAAGCTTCAACATCGATCCCTCCCTTCTCCTCCAGCAACAGGCTTAATTTTTCTTCTTATTATCATCTAAGCCAAAGGGGGGGGGGGGGCACTTTAAAGGGTATTTGGCCTGTCATGACTCTCTTCTATGATTATAATATGCTGTCCTTTGTGGGGATCTTTGACACAGAAATCTTTGACATTTGCTTTTCTAAAAGTTCAAAGCAAGTACACAAAATTATAATAAGTAAAGACTTTATTTGAGTATCATATAACATCCATTTTGTAAGTACCATCATCATCATCATCTTCCCACTTATAATGCAGCAGTGAATTTGAAAGCTTCAACATCCCCTCCCTTCTCCTCTAACAACAGGCTTTTGATCATCATCAAAGCCAAAGGGGGGAGTGGGGAGGGGGGAGATTGAACATTTGCCTGACTGGCATTGGGGAATTTGAACTAGAAGTGTCAAGACTTTCCATTAGAATGCACTTGTTATATATCATTTAATGTGGAGGTGTTTAAGGTAGATAGTTCACTTTCACCAGCAAAAGGCTCAGAAGACAAAAGTTCACAAGGTCTAGGTTTTAAAGCTTGGTCAATGTGATTCAAGTCACAGTTGCTAATTATTTTACTTTTTACATAAAAATTGGGTGGGGCATTTGAACACATATTTTGCCCAAGGGGATAGGAATTTTTGGAAACCGATCTCCAAAAGTTTAAATGCCTAGGCTTTTGCTTCAAATTGATTGATGCTTAGTTCTCATCATTAATTATTACCACTGTTGTCACCCAAATTATTAGCATCATCATAAATATTTATCTCATCTTCTTAATATCATTCTTATCATTTATATCATAATTATTTGTCTGTAGGGAATACTGCTTCTGGTTTTTATGATTGCAACATTTGGATCTTATTGACTCATTAACTTAATCTAAATGTAATTAAAGCAGTAGACTCTTTTACTTTATACCACTCTTTACGTCATATTGTTCACGTTACAATTTGAATATTAAATACGAAAAAACGTGACATAGCACGCGCCAGATGGAGAAAGAAGGAGAAAAGAAAAATAATGATCATAATAAGAAAAATTATTATGATGACAGAATCAAAAGGAAAGAGACAACTCTAGATGCTTCAATTGCTGATTAAGGATGGGTTTGTCCCACTTAATATGCAATGCCTCTTTGATCTTAATTTTGTATTTCGAAGCGGCAGAATCTAAAATGGTGAAACATTCTGTACCACAAGAGTCGAGACAGGCCTTTGATGATTGTAGGTGCTTGTAAATGTGTGAAGTTTTGTCAGACAAGAGGTGCTCACGAACCCGTGTACAGATGTGGCGAGTGGTCTCACCAATATAACTGGCATTACAGCCAGCACACGAAAATTTATAAACGACACGCGAACGTAGACCTGGTGGTACTGAATCTTTCACACTGAACAAGTTTCTGAGCTTAAACGTATTGAAGACTAACTTAATATCTAAATCAGGTCTACAATAACGTTTCAGTAGATGCCTTAACTTGGTTTGAGCGATGTCAGAAAACCGCCCAACATAAGGAAGTTTAAAATAATGCGAAGAAGGGTTTCCGGAGTTTAATGTGGCGTTATGCGTGGGAGAAGGATTATAGCTCTTGGCCAGATGTCTTGAGATAATCCTGTCTATGACGCTGGAAGGGAAACAATTTTTCCGTAGCAAGAAAATAAGTTTTTGTACATCCTTGTGGAAACCAACCCAGGAATTATTGATCTTATATACTCTGTCAACCAAAGTTCTTATTAAACCTAATTTGTACATCATAGGAGTGAAGCTAAAATAATTCGTCAGAAGACCAGTAAACGTCTTCTTGCGGTAGACGCTAGTAATTATGGATGGATTACTGTTGTCAATCAGTATGTCTAAGAACGATAATTTCTCATTAATTTCCTTTTCCATTGTGAAGCGAATACTAGGGTGTCTGGTGTTTAAATAATCAAAGAACAATACCGCGTCCTTCTCATTATTGAACAAACAGAAGGTGTCATCGACATAGCGTCTGTAGAAAACAACTTCAGATAATGAATAGTTGTCTAACCAGGTTTTTTCATGATGTCCCATAAAGAGATTTGCAAGTACTGGAGCAAGTGGGGACCCCATGGCAACTCCATCTATCTGATCGTAAAACACTCCCGCAAACAGAAAACCGGTTTCAGCTGTCGCAAAGGCAAAAAGCCTTCTTAGGTCAGCGGCGTTTATCTTAAGACCAGGGTTACCTTGATAAATATACCTAATCGCAATATCTATGCACTCATCGAGAGGTATACTAGTGAATAAGCTCTCGACATCGAAAGATACCATGAATTTCCCAGAGGTAGATAATTGGTTGATTTCATGTACAAAAGAGAACGTGTCGCGGACGTTGTATTCATGTGGGACATGTGGCTCGAGAAGATTACAAAGGAATTTAGATAAATTGTAATTGTAGGTACCTATTGAAGATACTATTGGTCGAAAGGGAGGTGTTTCATTAGGTCCTCTAGCCTTGTGCATCTTAGGTAGCCCATAAAACCTGGCTGGTTGAGAACCAACTGGGTAGATTCTCTCATAGGTATTTTTGTCTAAGTGGCCCTTACTTTTAAGTGTTCTCAAAAAACGTTGTAATTTACCTTCCCTTTGTAATTTTGGATCGTTATCATTAACCTTAAACTTGGAAGTGTCACTGATAATAGATAAAATACCCTGTTCGTAGGCTTTCCTGTCCATGACAACCAGGCCATTTCCTTTGTCAGGTTTCAGTATTACAATGTCCTTGTTCCTCCTTAGATTCTTTAATACCCTGTATTTCTTCAAGTCCGCTACAGAAGGTTGGTGCGATGAGACGTACGAGTGGGCAAGATGAGAGAGGTCTGCGACAAGTTTGCCCTTTAGTTTCCTGTCGAGTATATTTCTGACCATGGTACGATTAATTAGCTCAAAACAAGAAAAAACATCCGTTTTGCTGATGGTGCTAGGACAAATAGAATGTGAAGGCCCATATTTAAGTATTTCCAGTTGTTCGGACGTGAGATTCTGCGATGAGAGGTTGGTGACTGTCTCCGTTGAAGTAAACGGTAGAACTACGTTTCGCGTTAATCTTTTGAGTTTCTTCTCGTGGGTGGCGATAACTCGTTTCACAGCCTTTTGAACATTGTATTTCACAGTTCGATGGAAGACATATCTATCGATGTTGCTGATAATTCCATTGATATGAACCGCTAATTTGTCTCTTTCTTCGGTTAATTTGCAAAGTTCCTTTCTCCGTTTGGCTATAGCACTTTTTAAGAGACGTTTTCGAATAGCATGTACATCGTGTCTACTTGTGTTTGGCAGTTGAAAACAGATAAACTTCGGAAACACATTGAATGATAAACAGTTTTTAAATTTAGATTTGAATTTCCTTAAAAACTGTTTATCATTCAATGTGTTTCAACTGCCAAACACAAGTAGACACGATGTACATGCTATTCGAAAAAGTCTCTTAAAAAGTGCTATAGCCAAACGGAGAAAGGAACTTTGCAAATTAACCGAAGAAAGAGACAAATTAGCGGTGCATATCAATGGAATTATCAGCAACATCGATAGATATGTCTTCCATCGAACTGTGAAATACAATGTTCAAAAGGCTGTGAAACGAGTTATCGCCACCCACGAGAAGAAACTCAAAAGATTAACGCGAAACGTAGTTCTACCGTTTACTTCAACGGAGACAGTCACCAACCTCTCATCGCAGAATCTCACGTCCGAACAACTGGAAATACTTAAATATGGGCCTTCACATTCTATTTGTCCTAGCACCATCAGCAAAACGGATGTTTTTTCTTGTTTTGAGCTAATTAATCGTACCATGGTCAGAAATATACTCGACAGGAAACTAAAGGGCAAACTTGTCGCAGACCTCTCTCATCTTGCCCACTCGTACGTCTCATCGCACCAACCTTCTGTAGCGGACTTGAAGAAATACAGGGTATTAAAGAATCTAAGGAGGAACAAGGACATTGTAATACTGAAACCTGACAAAGGAAATGGCCTGGTTGTCATGGACAGGAAAGCCTACGAACAGGGTATTTTATCTATTATCAGTGACACTTCCAAGTTTAAGGTTAATGATAACGATCCAACATTACAAAGGGAAGGTAAATTACAACGTTTTTTGAGAACACTTAAAAGTAAGGGCCACTTAGACAAAAATACCTATGAGAGAATCTACCCAGTTGGTTCTCAACCAGCCAGGTTTTATGGGCTACCTAAGATGCACAAGGCTAGAGGACCTAATGAAACACCTCCCTTTCGACCAATAGTATCTTCAATAGGTACCTACAATTACAATTTATCTAAATTCCTTTGTAATCTTCTCGAGCCACATGTCCCACATGAATACAACGTCCGCGACACGTTCTCTTTTGTACATGAAATCAACCAATTATCTACCTCTGGGAAATTCATGGTATCTTTCGATGTCGAGAGCTTATTCACTAGTATACCTCTCGATGAGTGCATAGATATTGCGATTAGGTATATTTATCAAGGTAACCCTGGTCTTAAGATAAACGCCGCTGACCTAAGAAGGCTTTTTGCCTTTGCGACAGCTGAAACCGGTTTTCTGTTTGCGGGAGTGTTTTACGATCAGATAGATGGAGTTGCCATGGGGTCCCCACTTGCTCCAGTACTTGCAAATCTCTTTATGGGACATCATGAAAAAACCTGGTTAGACAACTATTCATTATCTGAAGTTGTTTTCTACAGACGCTATGTCGATGACACCTTCTGTTTGTTCAATAATGAGAAGGACGCGGTATTGTTCTTTGATTATTTAAACACCAGACACCCTAGTATTCGCTTCACAATGGAAAAGGAAATTAATGAGAAATTATCGTTCTTAGACATACTGATTGACAACAGTAATCCATCCATAATTACTAGCGTCTACCGCAAGAAGACGTTTACTGGTCTTCTGACGAATTATTTTAGCTTCACTCCTATGATGTACAAATTAGGTTTAATAAGAACTTTGGTTGACAGAGTATATAAGATCAATAATTCCTGGGTTGGTTTCCACAAGGATGTACAAAAACTTATTTTCTTGCTACGGAAAAATTGTTTCCCTTCCAGCGTCATAGACAGGATTATCTCAAGACATCTGGCCAAGAGCTATAATCCTTCTCCCACGCATAACGCCACATTAAACTCCGGAAACCCTTCTTCGCATTATTTTAAACTTCCTTATGTTGGGCGGTTTTCTGACATCGCTCAAACCAAGTTAAGGCATCTACTGAAACGTTATTGTAGACCTGATTTAGATATTAAGTTAGTCTTCAATACGTTTAAGCTCAGAAACTTGTTCAGTGTGAAAGATTCAGTACCACCAGGTCTACGTTCGCGTGTCGTTTATAAATTTTCGTGTGCTGGCTGTAATGCCAGTTATATTGGTGAGACCACTCGCCACATCTGTACACGGGTTCGTGAGCACCTCTTGTCTGACAAAACTTCACACATTTACAAGCACCTACAATCATCAAAGGCCTGTCTCGACTCTTGTGGTACAGAATGTTTCACCATTTTAGATTCTGCCGCTTCGAAATACAAAATTAAGATCAAAGAGGCATTGCATATTAAGTGGGACAAACCCATCCTTAATCAGCAATTGAAGCATCTAGAGTTGTCTCTTTCCTTTTGATTCTGTCATCATAATAATTTTTCTTATTATGATCATTATTTTTCTTTTCTCCTTCTTTCTCCATCTGGCGCGTGCTATGTCACGTTTTTTCGTATTTAATATTCAAATTGTAACGTGAACAATATGACGTAAAGAGTGGTATAAAGTAAAAGAGTCTACTGCTTTAATTACATTTAGATTAAGTTAATGAGTCAATAAGATCCAAATGTTGCAATCATAAAAACCAGAAGCAGTATTCCCTACAGACAAATAATTATGATATAAATGATAAGAATGATATTAAGAAGATGAGATAAATATTTATGATGATGCTAATAATTTGGGTGACAACAGTGGTAATAATTAATGATGAGAACTAAGCATCAATCAATTTGAAGCAAAAGCCTAGGCATTTAAACTTTTGGAGATCGGTTTCCAAAAATTCCTATCCCCTTGGGCAAAATATGTGTTCAAATGCCCCTACCAATTTTTATGAAAAAAGTAAAATAATTAGCAACTGTGACTTTCAACACATTGACAAAGCTTTAAAACCTAGACCCTGTGCACTTTTTTCTCTTCAGAGCCATTTGTTAGTGAAAGTGCACTAACTACCTTAAACACCTCCACATTCAATGATATATAATATGCGCATTCTAATGAAAAGTCTCAACACTTCTGGTTCAAATTCCCTAAGGTCAGTCAGGCAATGTTCAATCTCCCCCCCCCCTTTGGCTTGGATGATGATCAAAAGCCTGTTGTTAGAGGAGAAGGGAGGGGATGTTGAAGCTTTCAAATTCACTGCTGCATTATAAGGGGGAAGATGATGATGATTATGATGGCACTTACAAAATGGATGTTATATGATAATCAAATAAAATATTTACTTATTATAATTTTGTGTACTTGCTTTGAACTTTTAGAAAAGCAAATGTCAAAGATTTCTGTGTCAAAGAACTGAAGGCCAAACTGCACAACAACAGGGCTATTGCACATTTTAAACTTGGTAAGATGATGAGAGCTTCAATATGCATTCTTTTTTTCTCTTGTGATCAAAGCTAAGGGTTCTCGGTAATAGTTTTCTGAAAAAGTGATAATTACGTGTATGTATGTATGTATGCCCAAAGAGAAATTATCTGGAAAAATATATGTGCCTTATCTTGGCTTCTCAAACATACAAACAAGCAGCCTATTCCCACAGATATCAAAAAGCATCACAAGTTCTTCTAAAATTAATATAGTGGTGGTTGTATGATTTGCCATATGTACAGCTAATCAGAGATATTTATTTTAAAAACAGGAAATCACCAGGATTCACTGAGGGATGCAGAAGCAGCCATTGAGTTAAATCCAACTTTCCTCAAGGCAATTGTGAGAGGTTAGATACATGTATGTTAGCTGTGCTATAATAATATAAAAAAGAACTCAACACTCCAAGGTTAAATGAAGTTAAATCTTGTCTCAATTGACTTTAATCAAGAGGTCAAGACCACCCTGATGTACATTTGAATCCAGCTCTTGGCTGCTGTGCCATGACTTTCTATTATGATGAGAATATTATTTTTAGTTGAATGAAGAACTCAATGTGAAATGCAAAGCAAATTTCAGCATCAGTATTTTAGTTCCCTTTTTCGCAATAAGTGAGGTTAAGTGGTGTTAGATATGTTTAGTCACTATATCTACAATAGCTGAAAAGAAGTAAGGACTTAACTTAACTCAAAATTGTAAGGAAAATTTTCCTCATTCATCAGTTATAACTCAACTTCAAGTGCCATTGCATGTCTTTTATTCCATCTCTATCTCTTACTGATTTTGTGGGAATTGTTAGTCCCAATTCAAATTTTCTTAGAAGTTCAATCATCAAAAGCTAATCTAACAGAAACCTAGTAGGGCCTGTTTATTCTTTTCCATTTGGTATATTTTTGTTTTCTGTTTTTTTGGTTCTTCTGGTCTTTGATGGTTTAGCTTTTAATGGTTTCTGATTCTTTTCTTGGAATTGAACTACAGTAATTATATGCTTCTTTGTGTTGTTGCCTACAGGAGCCACTGCCTGTGTTGAACTGAAGAGATTTAAAGAAGGAATCACTTGGTGTGATAAGGGATTAGCTGTATCCTTTGAAGGAATCTTTAATTTTTAACAGTGGGTATAGTGGAAATATCCCATAATTTGACGTTTTAAGGGAGAAAATGCAAAGAAGGGTATTAATTACAATGGGAACTAATGTCATCTCATCCTTAAAGAGTGTGTGATTAAAATTTGGGAAGA